CGAAAACAATGCCAATTCTAAACTCTCTTTCATCAATGGTAAAAAACCTAATTCATTGATTATTTGCTTTAAAATGTACTTATCAATGCTTTTAATTATAATAAAAGAATCCTCATTTTACAACTGCCTCAATGTTAATGAACGCTGAAATTGCAGCCAATAATTAAAAGAATCTTTGACGCGTTTAGAAGTTAGCCTCTTTTCCTCTTGATAAATATATTTTAGAATTCAAATTGAAGTTACTATTAAATTTAATAATATATTTTTATTAATAAATTTTATTTCTGTTAGAAAGACAAATTTGAATAACCTTCTGAAGATACAATCATCATCAAATATGCTAATGTAACAAAACCACAAAATACAGCAAAAAACAAGATTATGGTACACAACCTGCTATTGATTTGTCAACATTGTTTGACAAAAGGATTTGTATTATTGTGTGAATTCATTGTTGTAGTAAAGACAAGAGAAAAGGAATGTAAAGTCGGATTATTGTATAATGGGATTTGTGCAATCAACAAGTTTTATCAAGATTTGTTTAAATTTAAATAGCCTTTTAATATACATGAAGACTTTGAATTCGTTTCTGTATGAGATATTTTACACTCTAGAATGGTATAACTAAAAGATTTGAATGACGGCACTCATAATGGAGCCAATCCTTTTAACAGATGAGGAAATGGTCCAAATATTTTATCGCAAATGCCATCAACATACCAGAAGGCCTATCAAAATATGGATTCTTTTTGGTTTGATTAGAAAAATCTGCTACAACAAATATGGCATTTTGAAGGGGATATTTTGATAACTTTGAAATTATCTGTAATCATTGAAGCAGCTTCAATATAGTTTTCTAAGAATACAAATTTCTTTCTTGCTTTCTTCATGTTTCCTTTAATAGCCCCAATAATATAAAAGCTCATAAAACCAATATTTATTAAAAAATTTCCATGTAGCTCTCTGCACCTGCAACTTCAGCTTCAACTTCAGCTTCAACTCAGCTGCAGCTTAATCAAAAACATATAAAAAATGACACAAAAACTCATGGCACCGTTTTTTCCCTACTTGTAATTTTTTTGTTTCATTTAGTATAAGTATGAAATAGTTATTTACGTTTTTTCTATATTTATCAATAAAACAGCAGTACGGGAAATAAAACGTTCCACATATATGGTACTTATCATCAATTCTTGCTCATATTCAGAACGGATGAACTGAATGAATGTACGGAACGTACAGAACATACAAAGCCAAGAAAACTCAACTTTTACTAAACATAATTTTTGGAAGAATAAATGAAAAACAAGGTGCATCTTATGATTAATGAAAATTATCTTTTCCTTGATTGAAAAGATTGGCATGTGTGAGAGATTATTAATTATTAAAGGACCTTTTTACAATTTGTTATTGATAGATCTACATCTGCACCACAAAACAAGATAATACTTGAGAAAAACCCCATACCTAAATCCAATAGTCAAAACTCATTAAACTAAATATGTTTTCACAAAAAACCTTAATAAAATTGGCTTATAGAAAGATAAACTTTAATAAGAACAGATAAAAAACATCAGTTTATCATGTGTATTTATTCATTTTATCAATGCATAATCTTAATGACTGTATAATATTTTATTCCAAAGCATTATTAAGACAATCAGCACTCCACCTCACAATTCGCCCCTGCCTGACCGCCCTACATTTCATTAAATCCTATTGGATGCAAGATGGAAATTTTTTCTTAAAATATATATTTGAGTAACACAATAATTTGACCCACTAGATTGATTAATATTAAAAGGTGATTGTCTCCCTTTAAATTTTTATTTATTATACAAAAGTCTGCTAATGAGAAATTCCAATAGCATATCTTGTTTGTTTGTGTTGTGGGGTCATAGAAAATAATTATCAATAGTAGTAGTTGCTGGCTGCAATAATATTATTATAAAATAGTAATAATAATGTAAATTTACACTAATCATACAAGAATAATTATATATCCTCAGGAAACAGTAACATATATTCTATGTGCTGTATGGGGTTAGTGCATAATATATCTATAATTTGCATATACTTTTAATACATGGGGTTTAACGGGAATGAGACAATTGTGTATCTATAATATACATAGAATAATGATGATTATCAACTACTGTTAATAAGGATTTAATTTTAACTATGAACAATGTGAAGGAATGAATAATTTTAATAAGGCGATTTACTCAAGGAAGATTAGTCCAGGCAGGCGTTATATGAGGTGAAATAGGCAGAAAGAAAGGGACCCCATTGACAAAAATCCAATTTAGAGAAATTGACAAAAAAAAACTGTTTTGAAGGAAATTAATTACTAGTGTTTTCACAACTTTAAAGAAAAAATTTATTTAGGTATGGATTCTAAGCTAAAAAAAGAGGTAAATATTTTATTAATTAAGATGCTAGATAGATGATAATTAGAATTATTATTATTACAATGATGTTTAAAAAAAATTAAAGTGTATCGTTTAAAACTTAATTAATCAAGAACTCAAAAAATTTTTTGAAAAAAAAAAGAGTAATGATTACTTAATCTTCTCTCTGAGTAATTAGTATTAGTTTAACATTTTTTTAAAAAAATGAAAGAATTGAAATCAAAATGTCTAACGAAATATTATTTTCTTTAACAATATTTATTTAGGACATCTTTATGTGAAATGATTTATGTGATTTATGATAATAATGTTTGGCAAGTAATTTCCATCCTTCAACTCATTCATTAACTCTGATCAATCTTAGAATTCTAAAATATTAATAATAAAAAAAGTATTTCCCTCAAAACGAAGCACTCTCTCGTTTTTAAATACATTTTGGGAGTTCATCTTGATCCTAATGACAATTATGAATTTCATCAATATCAATAGCCTTTGCGTAATTCCACCCGTGAGATGAATATCAATCTTTTCGACTTTGTAATGTGATGATATGTGTGAACTCCTCGAAGCTCTGTATTTCAAAGTCTTAATTATGTAACATTACTGATCCAAATGCATCATCTGGTAATATTTGTTCATAAAAACAAATATCCACCGATCTCATATTCTTGCCAATTTCTTCATATGTTGTCATTTTTAAAAGATTTTTTTATTTAGATTGTTTTTATGGATAATTTCGACCAATGATAAATTAGTGGGCACATGACTTGGAATTTTACGAATTAGACAAAAGTAGTAAGTAGTGATGGGCATAAAAAATTATCTTTTAAAATGATCAAGTTATCAAGTAGCTAATAACTCTTGCTCAGAATGAAATAGTTAATAAATGGCTAATAGCTAATTAATAACTTGAATTATTAAGTGTATGGTTAAAAATTCCCATAACTAGACAAAAGAAAATTATTTTTATTTCATGAATTTCAATGGCTATTTCACTGAATGAAAAATCAAGATTCAATCCAATCTTTTTATCAAATAACTGTGGTGCAAAGTTTTTCCATAAAGTATCAATTTCTTTCAGATATCTCTTTTCACCAAACATTTTACTAGGCTGTATTTTTTCCCAGCCTCTATTTTCATCAATCATTTTATTGATTCTTTGGTTTATATTACAGAGCTGGTTGTAATTTTTATAATGAGGAAAAAGACCAAGATTAATAAGCCACAGATGAATTCAGTGATAAAGGTAAGCATTTTCATCAAATATTTTAAAGAAAAAAGCTATTTTATTTTGATTTCAAGTTTTGGATTTTTAAGGTTGTAAAATAAACAAGAGTTATGGTTAAGGTTGCTTGCCGAAACCTCTTAATGACTGCCAAAACTCTAATAAACAATTAGTGTGTAACCTGCCAAAACTCTGCTAATTGTCAAAATCCCTAAATGTGAAACTTTGCC